TGAATTTTTTTATGCGTTTAACATTATTCTGATCAGATTACATTTTAATTATTAAAAATAGCTACAGGCCTCTAAAAATTACGAAATTTTTACACAAAGCAGGCAATAAACAAATAACATATCCCTCAAAATTTCAAATCGTTTCGAGCAGCGAGCAATTTTTAGAAAATTTAAACACCGAAACAACGATTAAAAAGCTCGACAACTTAGCAATTAATTCACAACATAAAATTTCTCGTCCGAGGCCTTTTCATAAGACCAAGGACCCGACATTGTTCCAATATCCACCGACTTACACGACTTTCTAGGTCTCGTTCGATTTTTGAGAAAATCGAAGGGATCCCGAACATACGAACACATAAAATCATAACAAAATATATACACACACATATTCACATCAAGAAATTTCACACATATATATCATTGTTCAACGAGCACTTCACGACAATAAACACATAACGAAATAAATCATATACGAGTTAAACGAGACGAAAAAACGACGAGGTACCGTTCTCGGGAAAAATCGAAAAACGGAACGAAAGAGAAGGCGAGCTCGTGGCAAGCTCGACGGCAAGCGTCGTCTCGCAAAGAAGGGTTGTTCGTCGCTTGGATGCTGCTGCAAATTCGATGAAGTTGCTGCTCGTCGAGGTTGAACTCGCCGGAAATTGCTGTGCGATGGAAGATGAACTCGACTTGACGGAGCTTGTTGGTCGCTGCGGCGGTTCACGGCTGAGGAGTTGGCGGCTGGTTCTCATCGGAAACGGCTCATGGGCTGCTCGAAGGACGAACAGAAATCGCCGGTACTCGCTGCAAGGGGTCGCCGAAAATCGCTACGCGAGTTGCTGGGCACCGGGGGAGACGAGTTGCAGGTGGCGTTCGACGGAGGAGGAAGGCGGCGTCGTTTCGCTGCTATGGAGGTGCAGCGATCCACCAGTGAGAAAGAGTTGCAGACGGAGGAGGGCGCTGCTCGCGGACAGATCTTTTGTGATGGCGGTGACGGGCTGAGCACGGAGAGGATGATGATGGACTGAGGACGAGGGTGATCGCAGAGAAACAGAAACCGGAAAAAAGAAAAAAAATATAAAGAGAAGGGAGATGGAGAGGGTTCACGATGAGGAAGGGAAAACTGATTTTCTCGCGTGAGTTTTGATGGCTGCGGAAAGGGTTTGGGAAGAGAAAAACCGAGCAAGGAAAAATATATACATAAGCTATTAGGGTTTAAAGTCTTGTTATCCAAGACAAATACAATCTCCCAAACACACACGTGAAAACCAAGGGAACAAGGAAAAAAAATATCAGTTGGGCCGGTTTTGGCTTGGGCCAAACGGTTTCTGGGCCGTTTTGCGACATCAAATCAGCTCACGGACTCAATTTCGGTTTACGCGAATATTCTCGGGCTCGATAAAAAAAAATCGTACGTTAATATATTCGGCCCTCGGGCCCGATTCAATCACACGAAAATAAATCCAGGTCTCGGGCTCGGGTTCTCCGATTACAAATTTCGACAGTTCCAATCGATCGCACGATAAATAAACAAAACTCCGGACAATATAAATTAAATACGCACATTGATTTTAAAATACTAATATTATTAATCAAAATATACAATTAGCAATTAATTGGCAATTAGAGATATAACATTTAGACATTCAAATAGGCAAGCAATAATTAATATATCACAATAATAATAATGATAATAATAATAATAATAATAATAATAATTCAAATAAACCACAAATAAATGGGGAATTACAATAATGATTAACGAACTGAGTGGTACTAATTTCGGAAATAGAAGAAGTCAATTTAATTTAATTTTCAGTAATTAAATTAATTGATGGATGTTATATCTTAAACATGGGAAGATAAATCGGTCAATTAGATTAATTAATTAATTTATTAATTAATCATTTGGAGGCTTGATTTATTGAATAAATTTGAGCTAAATGGGGAGAGCATTAATATTACTCTAGTGGAAATGTTTTATTATTTAATTCTATTTATATTAAGGAATTAATTTTATTCCATATTTAATATTACATTAGGAGAGGAATATTCCTTCTAGAATATTACCTAGGGTTAGGAGACTAAGGAGTGTTCTAGAAGGTGATGATTAGTAGAAGGAGTTCTATCCTAGGTTGGAAAAGTATATCGAGTGGAATTAAGATTCCTTAGCCTAATGGGATAAGTCCATATTTAGCACCTCCTTAAGGTCCCTAATGTAGTTTATAAATATTCAATGTCTTGGACTCTCCCCCACACAATTACCACATGCATGAAACAAGGATTCCTAAGGGAAGAAGGAGTTTTTGTGTGTTCTATATATTGAGAGTTTGAGAGATCCGGAAAATCGCCCACCAAGATTTTTCGGAGTAGGTGTTTAAATCATACATTAGATGATCTTAAGGTTAGATAGATCAAACCTTTAGATCTCTAAATTTCCAGCCAGTTCACCGACGTCCGTCGCCGCCTCTGCCCAGCGCCGCTAGAAGCCACCCGCGCCCACCACACCCAGCCGAGCAGATCCAACGCACAGTTGTGTGCCGCCCGAAACGGTACCAGCTCCATGCGACGCCTCGCGCCGCCTTTCCGTTCGTGCTTCGTCATCGACCCACGTTCCTCGCGCCCTGTACGCCTCGCGTGAAAAGACACGCGCACAACAGTCCTCGCGCGACCAGGAGACCGGCACCGCATGACCCGCGTGTTCCCAGACGCGCACGAGCCTAGTCCGCCCAGGCATAGGAATCCCTCGACCGCACTGCACGCACCCGAGATCCTAGCGCCTGCTCACGTCTGTTCCAGCCCCGCGCGTCAGGACCTGACGTGCACCACGACCCGCGTCATCTACCAGCGATCGTGACCCGCTCACTCCCTGTCCGCGAACCACTCGAACCCGACCCAATCGAGACGTGACCTATCCGAGATCCGACCGGTTCAGCCTGAGTCCCGACCGAACCCGAACTCGATCCAACTGGCCCGAGCCCGACGAGCCTAATCTGGTGATCCGTTCGTGATTCAGTGACTCGATCAGAATCGAGAAAGGCTAAACCCGCCAGCACATTAGGTTGTGGTAACCAGACGATCTTCATCAAAGAAAATCAGAAACGTCTCTGAGTTGGCAAAAATTTTAAACGGTAATGTCCTAACCCTAACTATAGATTTCTCTACGTTAGGGTTTATTTTTACAAACTTCAAATGTGCATGTTATTGTCATTCCTAATAAAACCCAACATCGTAGACCCGCTGCACCCAGCGGTCCGCGATAGGGGGAGAGAGAATAAAGATGCTCTTCTGCACACTGACAAGCTGACCGAAGATCGAGCCATAGTGCTCCAAAAGGTGCATAAGCTCTACCAGTCCATCATCATCCGCACGAGAGAAGATAATGATGTCATCCAACTAGGAGAACTATAGCCACGAGTGATGTAGGTCATCCTCGGGTTATCACGGATGAAGGCGTCAAGGCAACGAGAGAGATAGTCAGCCGCCAAAACAAAAAGTGAGGGGGAGAAGGGGTCCCCCTGTCGGAGGCCCAGAGTAGAAGAGAAGAAATTGGTGGGGAATCCATTAACCAAAACCAAGAATGTGTAATGCTCCACACGCGCTTCTACAAAACCGATCCACCGCTTAGGAAAACCCATTCAGACTCTCCATGGGAAAAGTCCACTCGACCTTATCATACATCTTCGCCATAACTCCAAGATTAATACTTGTGAAGTTTAAAATGCATCATACTCGTTTATATAAAGATATTATGTAATAAATATGTGAAATTAGTTTTGCTTGCTTTAGGTTTTGACCATACTTTTGTGAAGTGGATTTTGTGATGCATCTCTACATCTGCCTTTTCTTTTAATGTTAATGGATGTATGTGGGTATGTTACTCCTTCTAGAGGTTTAAGGCAGGGAGATCCTTTATCGCCCTACCTTTTCATACTTATCTCTGAGATCCTCACTCCCTTCATTAATTTAGAAGCCTCTTAAGGAAATCTGCTTGGTATTAAGCTAGGTAAACAGTGCCCTCCCCTCACCCACTTGTGCTTTACTGATGACACCCTAGTCTTTCTTAAGGCTGACTTCATACATGCCAATATCTTACTTAACATCCCGAATACCTACCAGAAACTCACCGGGAAAAAAGTTAACCTACATAAATCCTCGATTTTTTTTAGTAAAAACACACCCATAGACACTCAAATTGGCATCTATCACATCCTCCTGGGTATAACCGTTCTAACCTCTTCCAAGTACCTTGGCCTACCTTTAGGTATTGGTAGATCTAAATCAGCCACATTTGCCTTTGTAGAAGAAGCTGTAAAAAAAAAAAAAAAAAAAAAAAAAAAATTGATTGCTGGCAGAACAAATCATTTTCTTTTGCAGGTAAAGATGTGCTCATCAAAGTTGTGCTGAGAGCCTTGCCAACCTATGCCTTTTCCTGCTTCCTGATGCCAAAATCTGTCACTTCAAAAATATGTGGCACAATATCAGACTTTTGGTGTACTAACAAACAGACAGATGCCAAACACATCCACTGGAAACCGTAGGAGCTCATCACATTTCCTCAGGACAAAGGGGGACTAGGCTTTCATGATCTTCACTTATTAAACAAAGCTCTTATTTCAAAACAAATATGGAGGATACTGTCTCAACTTAACCTAATGGTCAGCAGAATATTGAAAGGGATTCACTTCCCAAAGAAGGACTTCTTCTCTGTCAAGACCAAACAGAACAACTTCTGGCTTTGGAAGTGCTGGCTGAAAGTTAGGGACTCTATTCATTGTGGAAGGAGGTTTGAAATCTTTGATGGAATAACCACAAGAATCTGGATTATCCTTGGATTACTGGCTTACCTGGCTTCAAACTCTCTGGTAAAAACACTCTCAATGACCACATTTGTTAGGTTAGTGATCTAATGGATGAGATGGTAGGAGGTGGAACAGACAACTAATTGTGGATAATTTTCAGAACCATGAAGTAGAAGCCATTTGAATATTACTGGAATGGACCCCCACAAACCTGACAGACTCAGATGGATTTGGAGTAAGAATGGGAAGTTTACTGTTGCATCTGCTTATGCCAAATTTCTTAATAAAAAATGGAGTCTTTTGGATAGGCCTGAAGGAAGCACCAACAACATAGAACTCAAGAATGCCAGAAAGAAGTTGTGGAATCTCAAAGTGAAAGGGAAGTTGAAGCATATCATTTGGACATGCATCAACAACATCCTGTCTATCATGAGTAACCTCCCAAACAAAATCTTGAAGTTGACCAGGTATGCAAGATATATGGAGATGGTAGAGAGACAAAAGAATACTTCTTTTTCAAATGAAACAGAGCTACCTTGATCTGGAAGTTATCACCTGATATAGCCATATAAAGATATACCGGCCCAAAGACTCTTCACTCGACCAGACAGTGGCTCAAACCGTTCACATGTCGACATACACCTGTCGATGTGTTCAAGTCGACTTCCTCAAAGTCGACTCTTCACGAGATTGATGGCGAAAAATGGCCGATCCCACACAAGTCGACTCCTTGAAGTCGACTTCTCTCAGTCGACTCCCCAATCAGTCGACATTTATCTGAGAAAACCAACAAGAGCGTAGCCTCCGAATAACCGAAGACCCCGGGGTCGACTTGTTCATACTCGATGTTGACTCCTCGTACCTCGAGATGTGAGACACACTGACGACTCCACACACTTGATACATTTCTTGGAACCTCTTTTCCTCCAATGGATAAGAAGGAATCTTGTCATGAATCAGCAAGGAGGGGAGACGAATCAACCGGGGCAATTTAGACCTTTTAGGTCCACCAACTGGGGCATTTCGGGGACTTCAAGTAAATGTTCACTCCTATATAAAGGAGGTGAGGTAACCCTAAACCCTAACTCCCATTCATTCCATACTCTCCCTCATAGCTGCTGCACAGCCTCTCTTTATCTCTCTCATATACTGACTTGAGCATTGGAGGCTCTACGCCCGAAACACCTCCGGCGTTGAGGTTTTTCAAGTGTTCTCGCGGTCTAGCAACGGTTCGATGGCGATTCAAACAGATCTGAGCTCTTTACCACCAGTTCACTCCAGATCTGAGAGTAGATCCACCATATTGGCGCCGTCTGTGGGAAGTTCTTGAAGGAATTAAGAGCTTTACACCTAGCTCCGATCTGTTTCTGATGGCTGAGAAGGAAGGTCTACAGAGGAACTTGAATGAGGAGTTTAGGGGAGCGTGGACAGACAGGAGACAACCACCACTCTCTACCCCTAGACCTCCAGTGATGCAGATGTTGGGGCTACCACCATTTGGAGGACTTCCGCCATGAGGAATGAATCTGGGTGGAGAAACACCCGTTACTCCACCCGGGGTGAAGATTCAAGTGTTGACCCAAATAAGGACAAGTCAAAACCCTAATCCAAATGTTGGAGAGAAGGAACCAACGGAGATGTCTCGACGCGAGGGAAAGCAGATCTAGGAGGTGCCGGAGCAGATGCAAACACAGCACCGCGTCGAGGAGCAAACGTTGACGATGTCGAGGAGCGAGATGCAAAGGATGATTGCTGAAGCTGTAGCCGCCCAGATGAAGCAAGTGGTGCGAGTCGAGCAGAATCCGAGGGTCGAGCAAAATCCGAGGGTTAAGCAGAACCCGCGGGTCGAGCAACAGCCTCGTGTCGAGCAGCAGGCCCAGTCAAAGGTGCAGCAAAACAGAAGGGCGGACGAGGAGAAGTCTTCCATTCGAACTGTTAACCCATGGGCAAGAGACGAGACATTAGAGCAATTGCGGCCCAGGTCTGCGATTTGGAGGCTCGAGTCGGGGGAAAGAAGATTAGGGGAGCAAAGGAACATCCATTCTCGCAACAGATCCTGAGGACCGACTTACCCCAGGGCTTCAGGGAGTTGAACATATGGTACGATGGCTCTACTGACCCGTCTCGACATCTGAGGAGCTTTGAAAACATAGCGCTGCTCCACCGCTACAGCGACCTAGTGCAATGTCGTGCTTTTTTGACGACTCTTAAAGGATCAGCCCAGGATTGGTTCCATCAATTACCAACTGGGTCGATTCAGGACTTTGATGGTTTCAGCTCGAGTTTCCTCAATCAATTTACAAGTGTCAGGGTGCAGGAGAAATCCTATCTCTCGTTGATTAGCATGCAACAGAAGAAGGGCGAGTCACTGCGAGAATATGTGGCAAGGTTTACAAGGGCGTGTGTTGACTGCCCAACAGCAACAGAAGAAATCAAATCAGGAGGACTAACGAGGGGACTGCTACCAGGGATGTGCAAGAACTCTTTGGCCAAATGGCCTGGTAGGAGTTTTGACGACGTATTGGGAAGATGTGCTAAGTACATGAATGTCAAGGAAGCATAAGTCGACTACCTGCAAAGCATAAATGTGTCCCAGACTGAAAGTCGAGATGACAAGAAGGAGAAGAAGATTCAATCGACTGGGGAAAGGAGAGGATCCCCACGACCTGATAGGGGTGAAGGACGATCTAGGGGATGGAGGCGAATTCAATACACACCCCTTTCAGGTCCCCACGCGAGAATACTAGAAGTGATGGAGAGGGAGATCCGAGACGATGTGGTGAGATGGCCAAGACGAGAAAGGACGGACCGGTGAAGCCCAAAGCAATTTGTACTGTCGATTCCACAAAGACTATGGGCACAGCACTGACGATTTCAGACACCTCAAAGACGAGATCAAAAGGTTGATAAAAGCGGGTCATCTGAAGGAGTTCATATACAAAGATCGCGAGAGGTCGAGCAGGAGGAGAGAAGGAAGCAAAAGCCCTTGCAAGAGGGCAAGATCATTAGAGAAGGAGGAACTCCCACCGAAAAGGGGAGTAACTAACATGATTTTTGGAGGATCAACAGATGGGGATTCAAATCGAGCAAGAAAAGCGTATGCTCGAGGTCGATATGCAAGAGTCAAGGTGCAGCAGGTCAAGGAGAGCGGACCAGTGATGAACTTTGGACCTGCCGATGTGGGGGAAGTCGAGAGACCACACAATGACGCTCTAATGATAACCGCACAAGTGTCGGGGTATAAAGTGCAGAGAGTTTTTGTTGACACCGGGAGTTCGGTGAACGTTATTTTCTATGAATATCTCAGAAGGATGGAACTCGATATCGAGCTTACCCCACTACACACGTCACTCTTTGGATTCAATGGGTCAGAGGTCGCGCCCCTAGAAGAGACCATGCTCGCTGTCGTCTTAGGGGAAGGTGACTTAAGGAAGGTGAAAATGGTAAGATTTGTGGTGGTCGACGTCGAGTCGGCATACAATGTGATCCTTGGAAGGCCGGCGCTCAATGCCTTACAAGCAGTGGTGTCGACCTACCACATGAAATTAAAATTCTCCGTCGGAGATCTAGTGGGAGATGCCCGAGGGGACCAAAAGTTATCGAGAACATGCTATCAGATTGCGGTGAAAACCAACCAACGGGCTGAAATCAATGAAGGGAAGAAACCAATGACGAGTGAAAAGAGGCCGAGGAGGAGTGACCTCGAGCCCTACAGAGAACTGATGGAAATCTAAATCGGAGAGAGGGAGGACTAGACCACAAAAGTCGGGAGAGAATTGGAGGATGAATTGCGAAAATAGTTGGTGGAATTGTTGAAAGAATTCAGGGACATCTTTGCTTTTTCCCTTGAAGAGCTGACAGGTATCGACCCGGATGTCATGGAACACAAACTCAATGTCGACCCCCTCAGAAAGCCTATGAAGCAGCGACTCAGGCATCATGGAGCTGAAATCGACAAAGCAATTGAAGTCGAGGTGGACAAGTTGCTGAAAGATAAACACATCAAAGAGATCCAATTCCCTAAACAAATGGTGTATGTGCATCGACTTTCGTGACTTGAACCTGGAGTGCCCAAAAAATCACTATCTCTTACCAAGAAGTGATCAGCTAGTCGACTCCACGGCTGGCTGCGAGTTGTTGAGTATGATGGACGCATCCCAAGGATACCATCAAATTCCCTTGGCCCCCGAGGATTAGAGTAAAGTGAGCTTCGTGACGAGTAAGGGGACATATTGTTATGTCGTCATGCTTTTTGGACTCAAAAATGCAGGAGTAACCTACCAACGATTGATGGATCGCATGTTCAAACCCCAGATTTGACGAAATATGGAAGTATATGTTGACGACATTTTGGTGAAGAGCAAGTCCTCTTCACACCCGGGCGATTTAAGGGAAACATTCAACACCCTTAGCGTTTGGGATGAAATTGAACCCGAGCAAGTGTGCCTTTGGAGTAAGGGCGGGACGATTTCTGGGCTATGTTGTCACATAACGAGGGATCGAGGTGAACAAAAACAAGGTGAAGGCCATTATCGACATGGCTCCACCACGAAACATAAGAGAAATACAAGTTCTAACAGGGAGAATTGTGGGGTTAAGCAGATTCGTTGCCCGGGCGGCCGAGAAGAGCTTTCCTTTCTTTAAATTGCTCAAGAAGAAGATGACTTTCAAGTGGAGTGACAAGGCTCAGATGGCATTTGAAAAAATGAAGGAGTTTCTGAGCGAGTTGCCCTTGCTGACCGAACCAGAGCCGGGTGACGCGTTGGTACTGTACATCTCGGTGGGGGAAGTTTCTCTAAGTTCGGTATTACTGCGAGAAGAAGGAAGTTCCCAGCAACCGATCTATTACACAAGTCGAGTGCTCCAAGGTGCGGAGACGAGATACCCTGAAGTCGAGAAAGCCGCTCTGACGTTGGTCATAACAGCCAGAAAGTTGACGCCATATTTTCTGAATCATACGATAGTGGTGAGGACGAATTTCTAATTGGGAGAAACATTAGGTCGACCTACTGTCTCATGTTGACTCGTGTGAAGTGGGCAGTCGAGCTGAGCGAATACTCCATCAAATACGAGCTCAGACGAGCCATTAAAGCTCAAGCTTTGGCCGACTTTTTTTAGGAAGGCACCAAGGGAGAGGAGAAGAAATGGGTAATGCATGTCGATGGATCCTCTGCGGCCAAAGGATCTGGTTTTGGAGTCGTCCTCATATCTCCCGAGGGCGAGCAACTTGATTTTGCCATCAGAATGGGGTTCAAAGCCTCGAACAATGAAGCAGAGTATGAGGCGTTAATCAAAGGGATTCAGATTGGTGGTGGAGCAACAGAAATCGTAACGCACTATGACTCACAACTCGTCGCGGGACAGGTGTTGGGAAATTGCGAGATAAAGGAGGATAGAATGCTGAAATATGTCGAGGAGATTCAAAGCCTCATACAAGGTCTAGAAAAATTTGAGTTAACATAAGTCC